CTCCGCCCGGAATCACGAGAGAACGAATTCTCGGCAAGAATTGAAGAATTCTTCGGCGCGAATTTGTGCAAGCTTAGATTTTTCATGACTTGGATTTCTCCGTTGAGTTCGTTTAGCGACAGAGAATTGTGGGCAATACAGAGCTTATTCAAAGCCCATGGAAATGGAAATTCCTGTTTGGTCATCGTCTCGAATTCCCTCGATTCCACCGAAGGCAGACAGATTCTGAGCCAATTCTCGGAGAACGGATTCCGGGTAATCGCAATCTCGCCGGATTTCGATTCGATTTTCAGAGATACAGAAGCAGAGGCCTGGTTCAATCAGCTCCGGCGAGGCATCATAAAGCCCGGCGAAATCGCCATAGGTCAAAATCTCTCGAACTTGCTCAGACTCGCTCTGTTGTACAAATTCGGCGGAATTTACATCGACGCCGACGTGATAATTCTGAAGAGCTTCTTAAATCTCAGAAACGCAATCGGAGCTCAAACCGTGGATTTAAGAACCGGAAATTGGAGCAGATTGAACAACGCAGTGATGATTTTCGACAAGAATCACCCACTTCTCCTTGAATTCATCAAAGAATTCGCGTCAACTTTCGACGGGAACAGATGGGGTCACAACGGGCCGTATTTGGTATCGAGAGTGGTGTCGAGATTGAATCAAAATCCTGGGTTTAATTTCAGTGTTCTTCCGCCGTCGGCGTTTTACCCAGTTGTTTGGAGCAGAGTCAGAGGTCTGTTTCAAGGTCCAAAAGACGCGGTTCATTCCAAATGGGTGATTGCAAAACTGAGGCAAATTCGGTCCAAGAGTTTGGCTCTGCATTTATGGAACAGCCATAGCCGAAAGCTTGAAGTTGAAAAGGGGAGCATTATTGATCTTATAAGGTGGAATTCGTGCGTCTTCTGCAATGATTCTGCCTCCAGATTACGATAATTAACAAACAGAACTCAAACGATAAGTTTTAGTACTTTTTTTTTTTTTAAAAAAATTTATTTATATAAAGAAATGTAATAATGCAAAGAAAAGGTATGAAATTTAGATATCATATTTACTGTCGAATTGGTACTGTTTTGTGGGATTTTTACTGAATTGTTCTGTGTTACGTTATGACATAAAAATCAATGTCGTTGTGGATGTCTGAAGGAATTAAAACTGAAAGCGAATTCTCATCGTCCAACCCATGAAGGTCACCTACTTCTGTGGGTGTGTCTTTAATTACATCATTATCTTCACATTTATTTTGAAAGAACCAAATTGTTCATACTTTAGAGAAGTCATGTACCCATTTTATTGGAGAAGAGATATTTTTTAAAATTGAAGTATAGTCAAAATTTAGAAATCTAATTCAACAGAAATGGTGGAGATGGTATGGCTTACTCATCTCTGTGGTGATTTGCAGCTTTCTTTTCGACCTCAAGATCTCCTCTTTTGTGATAATCAGGTGGTCGTTCATATTGCCACTAATCCTATTTTTCATGAGAGGACATGCCATATCGAGCTTAATTGCTGTTTTGTGTACGATAAAATTGTTGGTGGTCTTGTAAAGTTACTACTTATTTATACGATGATATTTTTACAAAAGCGCTCTTCCTTATACTTCTTTGGTTTAATTATAAAAAATACTCATGAACTTTGTCATTATTTAAAAAATACAAGTTTTAATATTATGTTGACCTTTTATAAATGTTTCAAAAATATTTTTTGAGCAAACATCCGTCAGTATTGTGAATGGAAATTTGACTTGGCAGAACTTGGAATAACATAACAATTAGGTGGAAGCTTGTCCTGGATTATGTTTGAAAAGAGAGGAAAGGTAGAAGATACTATCATTTTTAAAAGGGGAATTTGAATAAAATTGGAAAGACAGTGAAGAAGCAAACTCTGTTAACAAAGGAAGAAGAAGACGACAAAAATAGGACGTCAATTATCATATCGTTCCACTTTCTACCATATCAAACTTCCGTTCAAAATATTAACTGATGTTTGCTCAAATAATATTTTTGAGACATTTAAGATAGATCAAGAGCAGTATTAAAACTTTCGAAATGATAGAGGTATTTTGGAACAAATGACAAAGTTAAGGGGTGTTTTTTTTTTTTTTTTTAATTTAACCTACTTTAAAGTATGCAACAATTATTTACTCTAAAGTTCAATACTTATTCAATGTAGCATCTACGTTATGATTGTGGAGATGTATGGTTGAGAAGTAAAAAAAATGCTTTTATAACATATGCATCTACCGAAATATAAAGGGAAAAGTCTCTCTTTTGGTACTAATAATCGAACGGAAAATGTCAAGACCTTATGCTTTTTGACAAAGTTATAGGCTCTAAATTATTCCATAATGAAAAGGGCAAGAAAAAAGTATGAAAATCCAAAAGTTCTATTCCAAAATGATTTAAGCAAAGAATAATTAAAATGGTAAAAGTTCATGAGTTTGGATTGACTAGAAAAGTTCCAACTCCAGCTCCAGCAACAGTTGAGTGAACTATCTACTTTAAGAAAACAAAATTTGGGTTAAATTAATTAGTTAAGACATGAACTTAGTGTTGATTTGTCTTAGAAGTTGCATATTCTACATGGGTTACCAAGAAACCAGGCAACATATGCAAAGCTTATTTTAATTACTATGTAGTAAAATATTGATGTCTGTCTTGTCCTACCAAACCTCACATATAAAGATTCTTACTGTTAAAAGCGGCTGTTTCAATATCTTTTAATTGAATTTTATTTTAATGGGATGAAAAGACATTAGGGATAATGTATGACCGTGGTTTTAGCAAGTGTGGGTCTGTAAAATTTGGAATTTTGATAAGTTTGAGTTTGTATATTGTATGTTTAAGTAAGAATAACGAGAAGTGTTATAGAAATGTGAATTTGTTACCCTTAATCTAATGACAGCGTAAGTTTTTTGGTTCAAAGATGTCTTTTGTTCGAACTCCTGTTATATCATTTCTTTCCTAATTAATAAATGATTAAATTCGCACTAACCATCAGCTTTTAGTATAAGAAACTACCTACAAAATATAAAATTGACCTTTTAATCCAGATTGCACAAATCAAACCAACAAGGCTAAATGGTTGGGACCATATTGAAATTTTACATTAACAGTTAGTAGGCAATTGGATTGTGACCGTTGATCTTGGGCTTTGTACTTTTTCACTGAAATCTATGTGATTTGTGGAGCCCAATCACAAGTCCAATATAAGACCTCAATTTGAGAACAAAAGAAGAGTTCAAAATTGTCAAAGCAACAGTCCAAACTGTAATAAACTTCAGTGAGACGGAGTCATTGACACAGCATACAACAGAAGGCAAACAACATAAAATCTTCACTCAACTATCAATCATATTTGTACAAACTATATTCAACAAGTAATCTGTTATTCTAAGTTGTTCATTTTCATATGAACAAGTCACACATGACTGACAAAATCCTATAAATCCCAACTCTAATAAAGGAGCTCCTCACCTTCTATAGGTTTGCCATTCTAATGCCAGTGTCCTTGGCGAAGGAGGAAGTCTGGTCATGAGCCTTGGAAAAGCTAACATAGAAGAGCTCCGACGCTACACATGTGAAGACAATGAAAGCAGCCCCGGCCCCGAACACTCCCTTCCTCAGCATCTTGCACGAAATTTGCTCGTTCACAATAGAGCTCATATATTTGGTATGATAGGCATTCCGCACCGAAGCCGCCAGCAGACATGTCTCAGCAATGAGAAAACATACCCTGAAATGTCCATGCAATGCAACACACCAGAAACAGAGTTTGGAATTTGAATTTGATCCATGGTAATTTAAAACTCTAACTGAAACTATAGATGAACTCCATGTTTCTCGGTACATTATAACATGTTAAATGATCTTGAATGTCATAAAGCTACCATTTCAAATCAAGTATAATGATTTTGGATAGAGAATTTATGTAACACATTGAAGAGCTGTTTGAGATTCATGGATAGCATGACGGACTCTAAGACGGTCTCGAAAAATGAGGAATTTGGCCTAAAATGTTACACTTGAACATTTGAGATTCATGGATAGCATGGTGTGTCTGTTTTTTTTTAACACTGCATAAAAATATCACATTGGGGCTTAGGCCTATCTACCAAAACCTTAAGAGGGAAGATTATTGCAGTTTAAAACGCTCCTTCAAGTGAGTGGAATCATATTTACTGTTGAGAATATTTAGATTTTGCAAAGCCAATCACAAAAAAACTAGTAAATTTTGAAGGTTGAGCAATGGAATGTACCAGCAAGTGATGAAAAGGGTCACTGCCCAAGCCCTCGAACCGCTGGGTCGCAAAGACTTACCGCAGCATAAGCATCGGCTTGCCACCATTATGATCACTTGGCTAGCAAATAGGAACAGAAGTGAACCCACACCTAAGCCAGTTGCAATATCAGAATCATAGGCACAGAATCTAGTATTGCCTGATTGAACGACCGCAGCCTGCCAAAGAAGGGAGCGGTTTCAAGAATTAGGTACATACATCATACTCCAACTCTTATCTTCATTTCCAAATAATATTCGGATCAGAATCACGAAACCATGACCAGAAACTTAATATACCAAACTATTCAATTCCTCCACCACAGCCCAGAGAAAAAGAACACAAAAAAGGCAAAGGAGCTCCCAAGGCTTAAACTCCTGCAATCTTAATGAGCTCCACATGGTTGAATCAAATTTGTCTGAACTTCGATAAGTAATAAGCCGTTTCATGTCAGATTAAGCAGAATTATAAGCTAAAAATTGTCTCTCTGATGGATTGCATTACAAATTCATCCAAAACATTTCATTAGAGTTGGTTCTTCTTTATCCCACGTGGTTTAGCGGGAAAAGAAAACCACTAATTTTACCTAATCACAAACTCATGACCTATATCAACCAAAAAAGAAATTTCCTGCCTCAGGGGGCAAAGCAAGCCATTTATAACTTAACCGAGAAGTAACCAAGCCATTTCAGTATCAAAATCACAAAGTATTTCCAAAATTTCCCATCATATTTTCCAGAAAACATACAATTTATCAAACAACGGTTAATAGAGAGTTCCAGAAGATATATAGAACTTACAGTGGTTCTTCTCTGCTCTGCGGCAACAGCAAGCGCAAAAGCAACCAGATCAAAGACAAACACAACAACCAAAACGAGCATCGCCATGCCTCAAAGATCCAAAAACCTAATCAGAACCTTACAAGGAGAACAAAATCGCGTATTACAACGAGAAACCCAAGAAATAAAACGACAAGAGAAGTTGGCAATCGTCGAACTTAACCGAAATTTTAAATTCAAAAGGGAAAAAAAAGAAGAACCTCAACTTTGAACTTACAATCCCGMAAATGGGTTTTACTTGAAGACGGTTATAGGACAAAGGAATGGGAAAATCAATGGCCGCGGGCTCTGCAAATACCTCTGCTTCTTTTAAGCGCGGGCAGAAGAAAGGAAAGTGGTGGCATTTCTTCGAGCAGCTTATTTATTTTATTAATATTTATTTATGATTCTTATTTTGCCTTTTGAACGAAAGGTGGGTTTCTTGCGTCGCGTGTTTGACACGGCTTCCAAGATCGTCAACTAAGTTGAGACATGGTGTAGGCGTGTGTACACGTGCGGAAAAAGAGCGTGG